ACCTTATTGTTAACATTCTGAGACACTTTTGAAATATATATAATAGCATTTCTTGGGGCCCTTGCTACCATGGAGAGGCATTTCGCCTCCACCTACTTCCCTATGGACATTTCTGGTGCTTGCTACCAGCGCAGAGGACACAAAAAAATACTACTTTGTGCCTACCAGTAGAAAAGGTAGTCGAAACATGGTTGTCGAGGCGCGGACAATCCATACACTCTTCTAATCTTCAAATGCTTCTTCAAGTCCACTTCTTTCTTAAAAGTTCTCTTACAATCTTCGCACTCCATATATAGACTAACATATTTAACTACATAAACACGGGATGCGGGTAATCGCGGTACGAATCGAGGAATTCACTTTAGACGGGTAATCCTCCGGTGGTCGTTGCGCTGGAACCCCCATCCCCTATACTACTCAGGGGTGAGCAAAGATTTAAATTTAATAACTAAACAAAAAGAACAATTAATACAATGTTTTCAAACTTTCCTTTATTGAATGATTTATGTCTGGCTTTTCTAAACATTACATATTAAACGTAGTGGAATTACAAACCGCTTTACTTTTTTTGTCGCTGATAACCATTCATAATTATGATACAAGGGAGGTATTTACATGTAAAACAGTTTATATGCTATTCAACGACGCAATCTTTACTGTTAACTTGCTTTTCGTTGTTCAAAACTGATCGCTACGTAATATAATTCCTACGATAGCATTCATCTTCTTGAAAGAATGACGTTGCAATATTGCTAAAGAAAATGACGTTTTTAAATACATAACTGATCTGATTTTGATCAATCTAATAATCTAACAAACCTCTTTTTTTGCCGATTAATCAGAGGTCAGATCAGGATTCATGTTCAAGTAATCTAGCAAATTGTCTGTTTCAGGCCACGGGGATGGATCAAGAAGAGTGTCCATTGACGATTCAGCAAGGAGCATGTTGAGAACTTGTTCATCTGCTTCGTTTAGTTCAAAGTTATTGGAAGAAAGGGAATCCCATGAACCCGACGGTTGAGCTACTGAAGTATTGCTTGCCGATGCATGCTGGTCTTGCTCTGTTGAAAATATTAATAAACAACGATAAATAACGATTCTATATCAGGGTTGATATAGGGCCTTATTATTCAAAAAGTTAGAACATTAGCTGTATAGTAATGTGAGCCGCTTATTGCCGGCGCCCTTACGATCCGCATTAGGAATAAGTTCGYTATCTACCGTTGTAGAAGATAGGAAAGGCCAATTGATTTGAGTAAAAAAATGCCTTACCTCTCGTAGATGTGCTTGGATGGTTTGTATCAGAGAGTAACGACCGAAGAGAGCCTTGTTGAGAGTTTTCCGCAAAAGAAACATTCATTTGCTGTTGAGTTTGGTTGTCTTTTTGATTGACCATCAATAACTGTTCTTGTTGTCGAACTAACAGCTGCCTACGTTGATCCTAAAGTAAGGAAAAAGATCAAGAACTTAGCGTTTGAAGGGAAAGCGCCCAAAGTTGGCCAAGGGCACCAAATTGCACCCTGTGACTACATCTGCAAAGGATGCGCGCGATATTTTGCCGAGGTAGAATTGCGATTTACTTTTGCAACGCTGAGCACAACAAGTCTCATTTGACAAACACAACCTACAGATGTTGTGCGCAACATTGAATAGAGATTTATTTTTTTGCGACGTTGCGCAACAATTTCAATGCATGAACACAACCTAAAGAGGTTTGCGCAACACTGTCGAAGTAGAATCAAGATTTCAGGGTTCGTGCCTAGGCAATGACTTAAAATTCAAGGACAATTCAAGGAGTATCATGAACCAGACGTTCATGACAAGGACCCAAAAATGAATTTTCAAGGAGTATGTTCAGCTAA